TGGAACACAGGGATAACTTTACAAAAGCACACACCACCATGAGGATATACACCACCTCCTGTCTCTGTCCCTTTCTGGTCTGCCTCTGCTTCATCCAGAAGTGCTACGGGGCGAGCCACCACCCCAGCAATGTGCCCTCCAAGAACCAGACCAAACTGGCCAACGGGGAGACAGAGGTGCACCACAGGCCTAAGCGTGGCTGGATCTGGAACCAGTTCTTTGTTTTAGAAGAGCACATGGGACCAGATGCACAGTATGTGGGAAAGGTAGGATTTTAGTGAACTGACTGCAACTGTAAAAAAGAAATCTTTTGATCCCAGGGAACTTGCTTTTGAACAGCTTACTTGGCATTTCTCTCTCCTCTTGTTTATTGAGAAATGGGTTACAGCAGCAGCAAGCTGTTCTATTGAGGTAGATTGCCACGTCGGCATTGTACACGCTTTTTTAAATCTTCTGATGTGGAAATTCGGGTCTCGTTTGTGAAGGTGTATGGAGTTTTTTTTTTTCTGTCGTTACGACGGCTGACCGAATTCCTCTTATGATAATGTCCAAAAAATGTTTTATTCTCTGTAATTAGGAGTGACTCTCAGCATGCCAGCCACTCTGGGCCAGGATGCAAGAGAGGAGTTTGAAAGTGAGAACAGCCCTCTACATCAAGCTATCTTTGAAGTGAAATATTAGATTTGATCTCACTGTGGGAAATGTACCACCACAGTAAGAACCTGGACAGTAGTGCAATGGGACAGCCAGGGTGCCTCAGAGTTAGAAAACTTTATGAATGTAATTTCAGTGTCCCTTACAGTGGAGAGGATAGTAGTGGGTATTCTTCCTGCTTGTGCATAGGGCACGGTGTAGCCTGGTTGTTGGTGGTGCATTTTCTGTTAGCTCTACAATAAGCCACAGGGAGCTGGTTAAGTCCTCTACTTGCAGATTGCCTGCCCTTATCTCCTGAAATGTTAAAATGTGTTTCTCCACTGCAGTGATCATTATTCTAGGCACTCAGGCACAAACTAATCCCCTCAACTGCACTCCGAGAGAATTGAGAAAGGCAGAACGCTCCTCTGACTGCACATATGTCTGCATTTCAACAACGGCACCATTTGAAGGAAAAAAATAAAATAAAACAGGGATGACATGCTTGGAAAAAGGGTGAAAGGAGAAAAAAACAGCCAATATCAATTTCCTGCTTAACTGTCTATTTATTGAATAAACCTGGGGTTTTAATCACAAATGTCCTTTGCGAAGATGACAAGGCAGGATAGAAAGGTTATTTATTGGTGAAACATGCTTTTGATAATGTTATTTGATGCATGAATGAACCATAGAATCCCACGGTGCCAACGAAAACAATCCCTCAGCATTTATGAGGCATTGTGTCCTGAGTATTAGACAATACCAATGGTATTTGCTGCATATTCAAAGCGTCTGTTTGTCGATGTACTAACTTCATGAAGAAGTAGTTACGCTTACATTAAATCCATCCACTGCTTTGAAGTTCGTGATTGTTTGGTTTGCTGACTGACTGGCTGGCTGGTGTGCTAGTTCTACTCCTACCTTAAGGGTGTTGTTGTTCAGCATATGTGTGTATGCGTGTGTGTAAGTGTGTCTGTGTGTGACTCGTGCTGCTGATGAAAGCAGAATAAACATAAACAGCTAATCCTGGATGATAATAAAGCACTGAGAAGAAACATAAACATTATTAAGGAATCAATTTGACATGCATGTTTAAAGAGATGAGGTCTCCAGATGGTTAGCACAAAAAAACATTTAATTGTGGGTTGGGACTGGTGTGCAGTGTCCTAATGTGGCCAGGAGACAGAATGACCCTTAATTAGACGAAGACAGGAGAGGAGGAGGATTAATTCACTCAGCACGTACTGGGCTGTTTTGTTTTTTTTTCTTCCTCCCTTTGCTTGATTAAAAACTCTGGACATTAACAAGCAGCAAATGAGCAGTTCCACTACAGGGAATTGCCAACACTTTCTTTGTTGATAATTGCTTTCATCAAAAAATGTGAAGTTTTAAAACAGACTTCATGATGTGATGCGGGGACTACAGCACACTGAAGTGGAATTCTAAGTATTGCACCGTCAACATAAAAAGCATTTGTGCTAAGAAATCTACACCGTCATACCACAGTGTAAGACTTGGCCTTGGCAGGTTTAAATGTTATGTGTACATTTTACCAATACTCTCACATAAGGACAGCAAGGAGTGACTTCTGGGAATAAGCGAAGCGGCCAGTCTGTCAAGAACATTTTTAATCCCCCTGAGGTATGCCGTAAGTGACACCTTCTGGGGGGGCTGATGCATTTGTGAAATGACAGCTTTGTGCATGAGTGAGACGCAACTGCTTGGTAGGGGACAGGGCTTGTCCAGATAGGAGTGAGGAGACAATCCACTCTCTGGATGGAGGCGCGAATGTCTTCAATGTCAATCAGTTCAGCTTGGTGCTTTGAAGTAGTCAGGCAGGTTACAGACTGGATGGTAATTTTTAGAAGACGATGCAAATCCTCAAACCCTGAATGAGTATGAAATGCGGTGAACTGTCTGCTGTAACTTATTTGGAGGACGGGTACAGGTGTTGGATTAAAAAAAAGATCCTTGGTCAGGAATCCTTGAGTCGCTCCATCATGGGGTGTCTCGCCGCCGCTACAATATACAGTAAATAATTTAGACTTGACAGAATGGGTGCTTCAACCCAGACTAGGAGGAATACCCCCTGTCTTATTGTGTGTTCATTTACAGAGTAAAGCAGCAACCTGTTAGAAAGGTGTCTAAATGTTTTATTCATACATCTAAAAATGGATTGTGCTGTGACAGAATCAGGCAACTGTCTTGTTGTATGCACAGTAATAGCTCAACAGTGGGAAGGGGGGGAAAGTAAAAAGAGTTTTTACATAAAATTGCTTTTCACCCACACTTTGCAATGCAGGAAACAAGTGCATGTAGATTGAAATGTTTTCAGTGTTAAACCAGTGAAGTGTTGCATGAAATAAAAAGGAACATTTCCCAGCCAGTGTTACATTACTACACTGCGTTGTTGAAAGATTCTGAAAATGGCAGAAATAAATACTTAGCAACCCGTGAGAACTGTTTATGACACTGACACATGCTCATATGAGTGCAGAAATGCGTCTGTTTGTGTGTATTAGGGCTACAACAAAAAATATTTTCATTGTTGAGGACTGTTTTAATTACTGTTTTGATTCATTGAAATTAATCAAACCCATAGCTGGTTCACAGAGCACAAAATTACATCTTCAATTGTAGAACCAAAGATTTTCTATTTACAATGAAACAAACTAACAAAAAGAGTGAGTGAGTGATTAACTCATGAAGTTGATATGGTGAATGTTTTAGCTAATAGCTGGCTATTTACATATCAAGAGAGAGAAGAGCCACTTGATGAATATTGGTGCAATATTCACTATTATTATTAACAATTTTATAGCTCTGCTGTGGACAAACTGCGAGAGGTCTCTTTACCTGCTAAATGCTCCTCTATGCTATCTAATTGCTAACATTTTCTCCTGTCAGTGTACAGTACAGGGTACCCACGGGTTAAAAAGTCTTAAATTTAATATTCTAAAAATATTCGGTTACAAAGTGTGAAATTTCATTTACAAATGTCTTAATTTTTTCTCGTCCTTTCGTAGGATTAAATAAATGCCGTAACATCATAAATAAATATTTTTTGTGTTTGTGACTTTACAATTTACTCCGTTTGATGCTATACGGCAGTACAGGTAACACTGCTGTTTAGGCCAGAGTTTAGCTTTACGCTCTGGACTGTGGAGTGTTCACGGTACATGAGCATCCAAGCTCTGGTGCGAATCAGTCAGTTGTTAGGAAACAAAACCTCTCTGATGTGCTACTAACAAGCTAACGTTAGCTGGTCGACTCAGAATGGACAAGTGTGTGAAGTTCAGAAGGCCAGAGATATGGACATGTTGGGGGACGAGGCTGAGGGCAGTGGCGCTGAGGTTAGCACTACGAGTCAGTCACACTATGGCCAGCGCTAATGAAACAGCGGAGCTGGAAGACCCGCTGCAGGTTACTGGTCAGTGAATGTTACAACAGCAATGGAGAGACGAGTGAATGACACGAGGACCGTGTCTGTGTGTTGGCTTTGCGCCACTGTTGTAGGGTAACTTATGTGAATGAAAACATCCAACATGCTAATGGACATTAAACTTACGTCATTCAGATGTGCTGATCACCGGGACGAGTAAAAAACTAACCAGAGCCCAAGTCATTATCCCCACAAATATTGCATTCATTTTATGTTATCAGATTACAAACACACAAAGCTATCATATATGAATGTCAGTATTATAATAAAATCTTAAATTTAACTTGGAGAATCCTGGGGGTACCCTGCAGTAGGTTTATCGAGCTTTTGCTGACGCTGCCTGCTGCATCTGGAAGTGAGGCTGATGAACCCAAACTGACCCAAGCAGTAAAGGCTTTCAAACCAAACTAATTAGCTGAAAGACACCAAAAGTGTTGTAAAGCCTCGTAGAGAAGGAGACTGCAGTGTTAGGTCATAATTCTCTGTTTAATCAATGAATCCAGTGTTGATAGAAAAATATTGATTGGTGCAGCTTTAAACAATTAACAATGTCAAAACTGATTAAATGAACAATTGTTATAGCACCAGTAAGTGTTGTCTTGACATGTGTGGCAAAGAGAAAGTCATTGATTTTTCTCACCTGTGTTTCAGGTCTTTGTTTGGAAAGGCTCATCGTTCTCTGGTCATGGTTAGAAATCTGTAGTGATGTGTCCTTGATAGGGTCTCACTTTCACAAAACAAAATATGATACAAAGTTAAGCAAGTTAAGTCAAGTAATTACAGTTTAACTTCCATTGAGTCAATAACTGCAGAAAATAACACTTGAAGCTTATGTCTGCTGTCTGTGCAGGCATGCATAATTTCCAAAGTGCATTCCCCTGTCCACTGGCTGAAACATTCAAACATATTAGCACCATTTAGACACTTGAGACTAAAACCATTTGCTTTCACTCACTGCCAGAGCACAAGGCTGAAACTTCATGTTTTGTGCGGACAATTACATTTTGGTCTCATTCAAATATTGAATTTTAGCAGCAGTTAGAGGCAGAGCCATTAAATGATTGTCAGAGTTGCTTCCGGGACTCTAATAATCTCATTACTGTACATCAAGAAGCCAACTATCCTGCTGGGAAGACAACGATTCATTCTGTTTCTCCCCCCAGTTGTCAAAATAGAGGACAACTATTAGGG